ATTTATCCAATGGGGCTGAATTTTGGATATGTTATAGTACACACCCATTGGAACAACTTTAATGAAGAATTCTGCCTCATCCGAGCTGTGTAGGTTGCTGAAACAAAGCTTGCAATATGACCTACGGAACTGGACTGGCAGGGGGCTGTAGCCAAAATTGAGTTTGTCTTTAAGCTCTTCATCCATTCATCCAAATTAGGCCCTAACATGCATGGATTGCATCATTTACTATCCAAAGCCCTCATTATTACCTAAAGCTCAATGAACTAAAAGATAAACACAAAAAGGATTAAAAGCACAAGTTTAACTCAAAAACATAACCAAATCATAAGCTAGAAGGGTACAAAATGATATACAATTATGAACCGATCAGCATGCAAGCAGCGTGACATGTCCACCAACTCTCCACTGGCAGAGAAGTGGTTCAGCGCCGGACATCGGCCTTGGCTGACTTTATCGGCGATCAAGTTAATTTAGTTTAAGTTTTTGTCCTTTTTCTTATTCTTGGTACGTAAAATGTATCTAAGTTGCAATTATGCCAAAAAAGAAAAAGTGAAAAAAGAAAGTTCTTGTGAGTGCCAGATAAGCTAGCTAAGCAAAAAGGCCAAACGTTTGATTTGTTTGTGGGTTGCTTTGCTTACTACAAATTATGGCATATATGTTGATATTGTCGTCCTCGTCGGCAATTCCGATGACAAACAGAATGAGAGATGTACAAATCGACGTTTTTACAGACTCTTCAGCAGCCGCCATTAGTGTGGCCTTCCTAGCTTTCGTTGCTCTCATTTCCGGTTACAAATTGTCATCTCAATTTGATAGATTGAAAATGGCTACATTTGTTTGTTTTTATGGGCCTCATGCCACATTGACACAAGAATCATATGACACCACCATTTACTCACAAACAACAAGTCAACCTGCTTTTGTTTTTTTGGTTTCCTTGGGTGGCTGGAGCTTGGAGGAGGGGCTGAATATGTCAACTCAACACATCATGTGCTTACCTATGTGTTTGGTGGTGCCACGCTGTACTTCCCCCATACTATATATATTGCAAGGTAGACCACCCATTAATAAAACAATGGCTATCCAACCAAAAAATAAAAATAAAAATAAAGAAGAAAAATATTGTTTCTATTGATTTTCGATCGAAGCAGAATTTGTAGTTAGATGTCGCATTGTAGTTAGAATGTGCAATCATGTTCATTTGGCATGAATTAACATATTCTCTTGATTAAAAAGGCCAATTTCAATAGACTTTTAATTGGAGGATTCCAATAACGTGAATTTAGTATAATGATTGGACCGAGGGATTTTACAGTTACGAGTTAGGCATTTTAACCATTCAATCATGAATGCTTAGAGAAATTCTCGTCTGTAGTGAATGATTGAGATTCCTATAAAAATGAGTCATCTCTAATATCAAATTATTACAGCAAGCAAATTCATTGAGTCCCAAATGTTTATGGAAACATTTCAAATTTTAGAACATAAACCTATATACGTTCACAACACATAAGCGGCTATAAGTCTTTAGTGTACACGCTAACAATCGCGGTTCGTACATCCATAAAAGACTAGCAAATTCCACATGCCTCTTCTTAATGATGAGGGGACAGACTGTCATAAACATTTGTGATCAATGGAAACATCTACAATCATTCTTCGCAACCCTGCTCATATTAACTACACAGGGTTGGCCAAGATTCCTAGCCACCTGCCCGACTTGTCTACATGGGTGGTTAGCTAGTTTCCTCTTCCCCTATTGCCTTTAGATTTGATGGTATTCCCATATACCCCTTTGTGGGTGATTACAGGACATAGGCACTATGCGGATGGTTGCAGTGGCTTTCAAGTAAAAAGGTTTGGTTATGCAAGTATTTGGATGTACAATGATATACTAATTGAACAGTTAGGTACATAATTTCATGGCATGATATTCAATTATATAACGTCACGACTACAAAAATGGAAAACTACGACGCCTATTTAACGACGATAAAACTAAAAAGGGTCGTGTTTTTAAAAACCACGAAAAACCACGACGGTTCAATCTAAAACCATCGTGTTTTAAAAGGCGCTCTCAAAAATTCTGACGGTTCCTTATGAAAACAGTCGTGTTTTATAGCACGCTGGACCCAAAATTCACTTAAGTTTTCGCAGCTCTCTCCCAAACCACACTCTCTCGCGACCTTTAGAAACCCTCTCTCTCTCAATTCTCTTTCTCATCGCTGAAACACCATCTCCATCGCGCCGTCTTGGTCACTAAGCTCGCCATCCAAGTCACAGATCTTGGCATCCAGTTCACTAAGGTCGTCATATCCCTTGACGAGGACCCTCCACAATCTTCGCGATCTCCTTCATGAGGCCTCTCTCGATCCCACTCGTCTCTTCTGTTCCAGGCTTCGCCTTCTCTTCTTTGACCCGTTCTTCAGTAAATTTGAGGTTTCGTTTTGGTCTTTATCTTACTTTTGTTTGGGCGATTTCAAAGATTTGCAAGCGACGCTTATCGGTGGTGGTTACGAGTTGGATCATCATTGTGTAATCACGATTCTGTTAGCCGTTGCGCTTAGGTCCAAGTCTGACGATGTTGTGGGTTGTGAGTGTATATGTGCTTCTGTTTTTAATTTATTTCTATCTATTTTGCTTATTTTCTAAATTATTTTCTATTTCCTGCCATTTTTGTTTCAAAGAGTATAGATCTTCATAGGTTGTAACACAAAATCTGTTGATCTTTTCCTTTTCCCCTTTCTGCTGGTGTTGATTGAGATTTTTTTTTTTGTTTTTTTTTTTTCTGTCTGAAGCTTTTTTCCTCCTGTTTTTGTGTCTTTGTCTACCAGTCACACTGCATCAATTGCAGCGGAAATAATGGAATTCTCGTGAGAATGCATGGTCATGAATTTGGGAAAGCAAGTGGGATGGGGAGTCTTTTGTTGTGTGTGGGTATGTGCACATGTAGATATAACCTGTTCTCTTACTTTGCAAAATTCTAGAAATCTGTTTAGCATGTGATCTGGGTTATTTGGGTTTTCAGGGTTTTTTGGATGTGATGAATTTGAAGCAAATTTTTGAAACTTAAATGCAGGGTTTTTGTTTAAAGTAATGCCATGCTCTAGTTTAAGGGTTTATTTGGAGGCAAGACAGAGTTTGACACAGGTGTAATTCTTTAATTTGAGTTATCCATTTTTATATTTGTGTTTATGCTTCTTTGTCCAAATTTTGGTCTGTCACAGGGAAAAGAAACTTGAAAGTGCTTTCTTGGTGGATTTCCAGGATGCACTTTGACTTATAGTACAACGTTGTAATAAATTTTGTGATGTTGACATATGTTTTTCATTTTTGGATATGGAGTATTTTGTTTGAATTTTATCTAGTTTTCAAGTACTTTACGAAGGATAAAGATGCTTGAATTTTTTTTTTTTTGGGCATATTATAGGATTTTTTATTGTGGTTATATTGATTCCATGACTCTTCTCTTAGTTTGAATTCTGGACTGTTGATATGGTTCAAAGGAGAAGACCTTCTCTTTCTCTTCTTCATCAATGGTGTGTGAAGTGCAAAATGGGGCAGAGATTGTGAACTATTTCTTCCTGCACTGTCTAATTGTCTTACCCCTTTGGTTAAAGCTATTCAGGGAGGCCAATTTGTGTTGCGTTATCATAGTTGAGTGTGGATTTCTTTTGTTAGAGGCATAAGTTTTTTGGTGGGAGGAAGAAGGGTATGGTTCTAAAAGATGTGTGGTGATGGCTATTGTTTGGGTAGTTTGTGGGGAGATGAGAGTAAGATATTTGACAAGTGAGGGGTGAGGAGGTGGATTATCTGTGGGAAAGCGTTTGTTTCTGGCATCTCTTAGGGCTTCAATCTCTTCAGAATTTTGGGATAGTTCTTTGTTTGCAAATGTTTCAAATTGTAATGCAAGTTTTTTTTTTCTTTCCCTTTTCTTTTCCTTCTGTTAAGTGTTTATGGCCTTGAATGAAGTTCTACTTAATGTTTGGTACATCTCCAATTGTAGGCTTGAATTACTTTTTGGCCCCGTTTGGTTCACGGAATGAATTTGATGGGAAATCATTTCCCATGTCATTTCCCAAGGGATGGGAAATGGTGATTCCTTTCCCATGTTTGGTAATGCCGGGAAAGTGACCCGGAAATATCACTTTATTTCCTTTCCCATGTTTGTTTTGAGTAGGAATGGAAAACAAATTTTGTTTAGTTTCCCAATTGTATCCCTATTAAAATAATAAAAAAATACCAATAATTGTTGGATAAAAACTGTAATTATGAATTGTTAGTAAGGACAAATTAGTCAAAAAAAAAGTTAGTCTTACTTTCCCATGGGAAGGGAAAGTGAAACCCAAGTAGGAAGGAAGGATTCACTTTCCCTCCTACTTTCCCATGTGCTAGGCAACGCTTTCCCATGCCTGACTTACCAAACACGGGAAAGCAATTGGTTTCCCATCCCCAAGATTCCTTTCCCATGAACCAAACGCAGCCATTGGGTGGGACATCACGAAATTACAGGTATAACTTATGTGATCTATTTTGGGTTTTTGTTTCTCTAACTGCTCATTCTTGTTTTACGTATAGTATGTCAGCTATAGATTTCTACTATTTAGTCGACAAAGTTAAAGGTGTGGATGGCAAGGATCGGGTAGCCTTGGTATTTGATGGGAAATATTTGCCTCATTCTAAGCAGGTCAGTTGCTATTGCTGCCTTATTCTGACAGTAACTTGCAGAAAATTAAAATTGAAAAATAAAAAGTTGAATGAAAAATTGTAGTGAATTAGTGATTTATTGCAGCAGCAGACTTAGAAATTCAATTTTGTTATAGTTTTTCCTTGTTGAAAATGCTCAGCTCTCATCTTGAGATGCAACAACAAGCAACATCAGACTAATACGTGCAAGTTTGACACATCTCAGTTGGCAAAATATTCTGCTCATGACATGTGACAAATTGCTTTTTCTTTTCTTGTTCTTTTTTTCCATATGATGACAGAGAAGTTAGAAATGGTAAAGCATTAACCTTGGAACTAGGACTATGATTAGATGATAAAACTAACCTTCTTCATTTGTTCAATTTGGGAAATTTCAAGGCCTGCTGACAAGGCTGGGCCTGTTTAAATTGTTTATTATATTTGTAGCTTGTGAAATGCATGTATACTTTCTAGGCCGAGTCACTGAGATTCTAGGCTAATGGTTGAAGAACCTGAAAATTATGTACCCATATATCTCCTGGTCCTTAGAAATACTGCATACTTTTGTGAAGTAAAATTTCTCTTTCACCTAATTTTATTTGTTTATAATCTTAGCTTTTTTTTTCTCTGTCATTTTGATTTATTTACAAGGATGATGGAGTAGACTTCAATTGTGCATAATTTGTATGTTTGGATGAGCAGTACTAGATGTAGGTCTTGTTAGGAGACGGTTGTACTACTTAATTACCATGTATCAATTGAATATTTATATTTAAGTGGTATGTATGTCGTAGGAATAAAAATTGGTTAATTATGTAATAACTATTGAAGCTTCAAGTTTTATGAAAGAAATGAGTTTTGATTGTATATATTCATTATTAAAGCATTATAGTTGTTTTTCTAGTTAAAATCGTTGTATAGAATCAAAGGAAACAAAAACAAATTGAAATGTACTAGGGTGGAACTTATTTTGACGACATACTTAAGGACAATCAACGACGGTTTTGTTGTAGAAACCATCATCTTTACTAATATTTACGACGCTTTTGATATAAACGGTCGTCTTTACCTCTATCAACGACGGTTCTTAAAAAAACGGTCGTCTTTACCTCTATCAACGACGGTTCTTAACAAAAAACCGTCGTCTTTACATACTTAAGGACAATCAACGACGGTTTTGTTGTAGAAACCGTCATCTTTACTAATATTTACGACGCTTTTGATATAAACCGTCGTCTTTACCTCTATCAACGACGGTTCTTAACAAAAAACCGTCGTCTTTACATCTATCAACGACTTGTTTTGACAAAACCGTCGTCTTTATGATAAACAACGACGGTTAAAAACCGTCGTAGTTTGACATTCAAAAAGATGGCGGTCGATTTAACGACGGTTTTCAAAGAATAAAGACGATGGTTTTTCCCCGTCGTCTATTTCCATTTTTGTAGTAGTGTGTGTTGAAATCAAGGTAAAAAATGATTCTAGAATTTCATCGTTGGTTTCTCTTTGAATATTTTTGTACTATCTTAATTGTGATTCATGGTAGAAAGAACTACGTGTGGCTTGATCCCTCAATAAGAGTATGTAGGCAACCTAGGCTAATCTAAGTGCAGCCGCAAGTTTATGATTTATTTGTTATGTTCAGTTTTGTCAAGTTGAAATTGAAGACTTTCTTATGTTGGTAAAGGGGGGCCTGTAGCCCATTGAAACTTTTGCTAATTGGTAATTGGTTTATACCTTGTGCTTGCTGAACGCTTGAGAAATAATTGAGTTTGCTATGCAGGTAGATTTCTGGATTTTGAGCCTTTTTCAGGGGAGACTCTTTCGGTTTTTCAGTATAATTCAAACCCTAAAACACTTTTTGGGATTAGGGCAAGAAGGGTATTTTGGTCATTCATGCCCAATACATGCCAGGTGTTGGACACGCACGGGTTTCAACACGGATTCCAAAGTGGAATTTGGGTCGGGTCCTTTCAGATTGTTTGTGAGTAAATTGTGTCATATGATACATGTTCTTGTGTTGCTAAAAAAAACAGAAGAAAAAGAATGTTTCAATTGGACTTTCAATCGAAGAAGAATTTGTAATTTGGATGTCGCATTTTAGTTAGAATGTGCAAGCGAATTCATTATACATGAATGATCACATTCTCTTGATAGAAAAGACCAATTTTAAAATACTTAATTGCAGGATTTCAATAACTTTAATTTAGTATGGATTGGCCCTATGGATTTTGCCATTACAAATTAGTCATTTTAACCATTCAATTGTGAATGCTTAGAGAAATCCTTGTACATAGTGAATAATTGAGATTCCGATAAAAATGAGTAATCTCTAATATCAAATAAATCCAACAAACAAATATGTTGATGCTAAAAAATGGTCGAACACTTTTGGACCAAACTTAGCGATGATGTCACCTTCTGCCATGCGTAGTCTTCGGCAGTGTAGATGTTCTGCAAGACAAAAGACAAGCAGTAAGACCTTCGGGACAGGTGTGATACCGACCGACGACTCCCCGATAATTAAGTTAGTATCATGTATGGAATGAGCCTTGATCTGGACAAAGTGATAACTAAGTAGTCGAATGTCCAGTTACCTGGTTTTGGGGACTTGTGCCCCTTTTTATAAACTTTGGGAGAGGTGCATCTTTAGTGGAGTTTTGATATGGGATTGTGGGCATTGCCTGAGAAGGCGCCACATGTCCTTTATGAGACGAAGGCTCATGTCTTGCCGATGGTACTTTGTGGGGTGCAATTGGTTACCTATTTTAGAGGGTCCTCGTGGATCCCTTTTCCACATGTCGTTCTCTAATTGACCGGTCATATATGGTATAAACCAAATCTTTTTTCCTTTTGCCAATAGATAGGAAGGGGAGAGCAGTAAATGAGTATCACAAGATTTCAATAACTTATGACCTATATACAGGCTAGCAATAGTCGTTCACAAAGAACATAAACGGCTATAAGTCCTTGGTATATATACTAGCAATTGGGCTTTGTACATCCACAAGCGGCTCTAGCAAATTCCACAAGCCTCTCACTCTTACTGTTAAGGAGACGGAGTGTCCTAAACATTTGTGATCACTGGAATCATCAACAATCATTGGCCTGCTGCAGCTCCAGTATAATGCCAACCTGGCAGGAAGTTAGTTGGTTAGTTTAGTTATAATCTCCCAGCCGTGCACCAACTAACCATCCGATCCCATGCAAAACACCCCACACAGTCCCTTAAATACGACTCATGCCAAACTGCCAACAAAACTAAATGCTGTCTTGTCAACTTAGTTGGAAAATTAGAATTTTATGATCAATATTATAAGCGTATAAAGTTCCAATTATGTCAATAAAATGAAGGGGGGAAAAAAAGGTTCTTGTGAGTGCCAGCTAAGTTGGCTAAGCAAAAAGGCCAAACTTTTGATTTATTTGGGTTGCTTTGCTTGCTGCAGATTATGGCATATCTGTTGATATCGTCAACAATTCCGTTGACAAACAGAATGAGATAAGTACAAATCGACATATTCACAGAGTCTTCAGCATCCACCATTAGCATGGCCTTCCTAGCTTTCGTTACTCTTGCCTCATCGGCTCTCATTTCCGGTTACATCTGATAAATTGAAAATGGCCGCATTTGTTTTTATGGGACTCAGGCCAGATCGACAAAAGAACAGACATCATATCATAAGACACCATTTACTCACAAACAACATATGTCAACCTGCTTTTATTTTTTTGGTTTCCTTGGGTGGCTGAAGCTTGGAGGAGGAGCTGAATATGTCAACTCAACACATCATGTGCTTACCAATGTGTTTGGTTGGTGGTGCCACGCTGTACTTCCCCTATACTATATATATTGCAAGGTAGACCACCATAAATAAAACACTGGCTATCCATCCAACCAAAAAACATATATAAAAAGAAAGAAGAAAAATATTGTTTCTATTGACTTTCTATCGAAACAGAGTTTATTGTTAAATGTCGCATTGTAGCCTATTCATTTGTCGCATTGTAGTTTGTTCTATAGACACACTATTCATAGTCGTTCACAAACACATAAGCGGCTATAAGTCTTTAGTGCGCACCCAAACAATCGCGGTTCGTACATCCACAAAAGACTAGCAAATTCCACATGCCTCCTCTCAATGATGAGGGGACGGACTGTCATAAACATTTGTGATCAGTGGAATAATCTACAATCATTGGCCTGCAGCTCCAATCAAATGCCAAGCTGTCAGGAAGTTAGTTAGTTAGTTACAATCGCTCAACAGTGCACCAATTAACTATCGGATCCTATGCAAAATACCCCACAATCCCTTAAATACGACTCACCGAATCATTGTTTGCCACGTTGAACCTAATTGCAATGTGCTCCAATCACTCACGCGGCCAATGTTTCGGTTCACTCGGGCGTGAGCGCGCGCAGTGAAACCTACACGGCACGCGAAACTGCCAACAAAACCAAACGCAGACTTGTCACTTTGATTTCGCTCCCATTTCCCCAACCCTGTCTTTGTCCTCCCAAAACTCCCCCAAACTCAATTCAAAACCTTCCCTTCTTCCAAATTCCAAATCCAATTCATTCCTAGCAGAACACAAAGAAAAAACGATCATGACAGGTCAAAACGGCACGTCGCCCAAACATCCAGAGCACGCAGGATCCCCGCCACCGCCAGTGGTGCCCACGGCTCCACCGGCTGCTGATGTGGAGAACCAGACTCCGGGCCATGCTCAGACTACGGGCACGGGGTTCGGAGTGGCGGGGATCCTGCGGCGATGGAAGAGAGAGGACTTGGTGAGAAGAGGCTCTCTGGCTCTGAGGGGACTGTCTCTGGTCTTCTCTCTGCTGGCCTTCATCATCATGGCCAGCAACAAGCACGGCGATTGGAAAGACTTCGATAAATATGAAGAATACAGGTAATAATTCCTCAATTCATTTCATAATTTGGTGTTTATTTGAATTGTGTGCAATCGGAATTAATATTTTATATCTATATTTGTAGGTATGTCCTGGCAATAGCGATTCTGTCGACGCTGTACACCGGTGTGCAAGCAGCGCGACATGTCCACCAACTCTCCACCGGCAGAGAATTGTTTCAGCGCCGGACGTCGGCCTTAGCCGACTTCATCGGCGATCAGGTAAATTAATTAATTTTGTTTTAAATTTTTGCTCTTTTTCTTTTTCTTGGTAAAATGTATTTAGAATATCAACTTATTTGGGAAATTATAATTTTCTGATGAATACGCGTAAATTTCCAATTATGGCAATAAATAAAAAAAGGAAGCTTCTTGTAGTATAGAAGCTTTGGATGACGAAATTGGTAAAAGGGCCTTATATGAGTGGCAGCTAAGCAAAAAGGCCAAACTTTGAATTGTGGATTGATTTGCTTGCTTGCTTGCTGCAGATTATGGCATATCTATTGATATCATCATCGTCGTCGGCAATTCCGTTGACAAACAGAATGAGAGAAGCGCAAGACAACATATTTACAGACTCTTCAGCATCCGCGATTAGCATGGCCTTCCTCGCTTTCGTTACTCTTGCCTTATCGGCTCTCATTTCCGGTTACAAACTGTCATCCCAGTCTTACATCTGATAGATTGATATCAAGGGCAATAATTCTTCCATGTTGCAGGATTTTGTTTTCATTTATTTATTTATTTTTGTGTGTGATATAGTTTCATTTATCAGCTAGCTGCGGAAATGTCCTGTAATTAGGCGTGTGTGTGTACACAGCCCCATATGTAATTCTTGGTTTGGTTTTGAAGGAAGGCATTAGGCTATTGTGCATAAGATAATGAGATGTATCTTGTTTCACACATGAATAGATACTTTGCTTCTCTCCAATAAGAAAGTTTTAGAAAGAGATTATGCCTTTCTCTTTTTATTATCAAAAGACTTTTTGCTGTTGTTTATTTGACAGTTTTTTGTTTTTTTGGGGATAAATCGTGGACGGGGTTCGAACTTTAGACTTCTTCCAATTGGAAACTGATCAACTAAAGAAATAAGGTCAAATACAATGAATCTGGTTTTTCAATCTATTAAGAAATTTGACATGGTTAGGATATATCTGATGTTTTTAATTATGTTGAACAAACACAGAGAGTTTCTTTAGTAACAAGATAACAACATAGAAATGGTGATGAATTGTTTGGCATAGAGAGCTAAAGTTGGCCAAGTCACTCTACAGTTCAGAGTGAGGTTGAAAGATTTGGGTTGTCTCCGTGTGTTTAAAAAAATTGGAAGAGTCAGAAACTTTTCCAAGCATTGCAAGGCTTTATTTTTGCTTCTTCTTTATGTCAAGTGCTCTGGAAAAGCCATTTGGGAAAAGTAAAAAGTTGGAATTACATACTTGAGCAATCTCAAGTGTTAATCACCTGCTGTGCCATGGAAAAGCCAACAGGAAGGGGGGGTTGTGACAGAATGAGGAACCTATTAGCTTAGCAGAAAAAAAATTCAAGCAACCCTTTATTCAATCAACCTGTTATTTTCTGTTCTTCCTAGAATAATTATAACATGGAACAAAAAGAATGAGGCATTATCCTCAAACAAATAAACAAATGCAACACATGCCAGTCTTTACATAATTAACCCTTAGAGAACTACTTCCTCAGGAACTATACATTAAAAAGAAAACCTAAAGTCTAATTAAATCTTGTCGTCTTGGTTTGACTTCTAAACACAAAATGTGTAACATTTGATTCTGATTTGCACGTTCGCTTTTAGAACTCTGGAAATCCATAACTTCCTTCACTCTGTAACATTTTGAGGGTATAGGGTGACTGCCTTTCTGTTGTTGGCTGCCTTGTATTCTGAAGAGAGCTGAGGTAGCTCAAGTTCGAATGATTAGGCAAGGCTAAGGGCCTCACAGCCATGGACACATTGCTGTTGTTGTTGCTGCCATTATCAGAAGCAGGTCTATTTGCATTGCTATAACTGCCGCTGCCGCGCGCTGCAGGAACATCATGGTTGTGTTTCCCTTCATATGTGGTGATCACAGCCCTTGTATCATGTGAAGCTCGCTCCACATGTTTCCTCACCGGACAACCTACGGATGTGCATTTGTAGTAGCTCCTACAGATTGGAAAAACAATTGATTAGGTTAATCAGAAAAGTTCAAAAAGTGTTTGCTAGTTATTAAACTCAAAAACCCAAGAAAGCTAAACAAATTTATAGGATGGTTACCTTGGATTTGGATTTCCCTTCACTACTTTCTGTCCATATTTCCTCCATCTATACCCATCATCCAGAATATCTATTTCACTTGTTGTCTGCACTACAATTCTTGGCTCTTTTACAATTCTACTTCCAGCAGCTGAAAAGGGCTGATCGTTTGCATTTTCTCCCTTCCTGCAAAATATGAAAAAAGTACATTTAATCATCTGCAGTTTTGGCTATAACATATACACAATTCACAATCAAAATCACAAGTCTATGCACTTACCATCTTTTGGCCTCAGGCTCATTTTCATCTTCAGCTCCTCCTGAATTACTTATTGGTGAGTTTTGTTCAAACTCATCCTCTCCAATTGAGGCTGAAGAGTCCTCCTGCATCGTGACAGATTCGATTTTCGGATTGGATATTGTTGGCACAGATTGATCAGAAATGCCATATGTAGAACCCTGAATTGACTGAGAGGTTGATCTTCTTGTAGACTGAGGCTTGGGATGGTTGTGACTTCCCTTGTATACAATTTGAGTGATATGTCCATCCAACGATCTCTCAACCTTTTTCTTTGTTGGGCAATTCGGATACGTGCACTTGTAATAACTCCGCGGATTTTCGCTGCCCTTCACTTGTTTCTGCCCATATTTCCTCCAATTGAACCCATCATCTGATTTTTGTTCTCTGACAAATTGAGACGATTGAGTGGAATGTATTGAATCAGGCTTAGGAGCCCCACTAGGTCCATTGCTCTGCATATTTGTTTGGTTTGTGCCAATCTCTGGGAAGATGATCTGTAGTGGCTCAAATTCAGACTTAACTCCTGTCTTCTCTGTTAAAGATTCAGCTTGCCTTGAGATTCTGTTGAAATCCCATGGTTTCTGTTCTGTTTTCAACGATTCTTCCTGTTCACATAAGAATGATTAAGTCTCAGAACAATTACAAAAAATAAGGCTTCCAACTGCACAACTAACTTGTAAAGATAACAGAATGAAGAGAATTAATTTAGTCTTACCACTGAAGCCATGTTTGAAGAAGCTTGAATGTTGAAGGATGAGGATGATGTTGCAGCAGGCCTTGTTTCTGGTTGGAAAGAGAAATCAGAGAACATTTTCTGTTCCCTCTCCATTCCTTGCTGGGTTTCTTTAGAATTACTCATCCAGTCAAAGATTTGACTTGAGAAAGCTCCACTTGTTGGAGATTGAAGAGTCTGGAGAACAAACATAACACAACACAAAAAAACCCATCAGTAAACAAAAAAAAAAGAACAAAAGAACCCAACAACATAATAAGTTCATGACTTACATTAGAGGAAGATAGGAACATGGGTGAGCTGAAAAAATCATTTGGGCTAAAAGCTGGTGTGGAAGCTAAGTATGAAGAAGGGGAAACAGGAGGAGGAGACATAGGCAGAGAAGGGGGCTGAAGTGACTTGAATTTTGGGATTTCATTCCCATTTCTGTCCATTAAAAGGTCTGAAGAATAGCCTGAAAGTCCCCAATTAGTTCTTTCCTGGTCAATATTGCTGTCCATGTTGTTCATGTTACTTGTGAGGAGGTGAGTGAAAGAGGAAGTCATGGCTTTTGATTTTGAATGGAGGAAAATGAGAAGATGAAGAGAGAATAATTTATAGAACAATTTAAAGTGTTGAATGACAGAGACAAATGTAAGAGAGAGAGGCACAGCGATGAGGAGGAAGCAGACAGAAGATGAGGGCTTTGGTGTGTTGTGAGGGTCTCCACGCTCTTTCTGAGAAGCTAAAAAGATGTTTGACCGTGGAAAATGAAATTTTTTTCTAGTCAAAGCTTGTGGGTTTGACTTTGACTGCCCTGTGCCCACGTAAGTGGCGGCTCATTTTGCAGAAGCTCTGTAGTTGGAAGAGGCAGCTGGGATCTTCGTTAATGTGATAATTGATACATTAAATTAAATAAATAGTATTTCTGGTTTTTGTTTTTTTAATCAGAAATTTGAAGCATTGTAATTATTTGCACATTATGATTTTCTGCTTGCAACGTCTGAAACTTCAAATGAATTTGAGACAACTTTTTTTTTCGGTTTTTTATTTATGAATTATAGCTACAGAAATGTCATGTGCTAAATAAAGCCGCATTCCATTCCCATGCTTCCACATACGCCAACATGGAGATTTTATATTGTCTTTGTTGGTTTATTTTATTATTTTTTTCAATTTTCTTTGCTAATTGACAATGAGATGTCACCAAATTAGATTTTGGTTCTTGCTTGATATAAGGGAGAATATAATGGATTTGAATCTGGACAAAACCCTCCTAAGTTACTGAATTTGGGTTCTTCTGATGAAAACATATAATATTATAAATAAATAAAGTTATGATGAATGGTTGTAATCTAATGATTGGGTTAAGCAATTAATATATCATAATAGACAAATCTATACATAAAAAAGCTACAAAATTATGCAAAAATATAAAATTTAGGATCATAACTGACCATACAGCTTTTTAAAAAATCGAGTTTATCAATCACCACACAATAACTCACAGTATAAAAGGTATAAATACCCTAACCATAATTTAGAGGGTCTCCAGCATATATGAAGTCACTATTCATCTCTTTTTTTTTCTTTTTTCTTTTTTTTTATTTTATAAAAAATTAATGGTTGTAGTTATATGGAGTATGAACTTGCCTTTCAATTTAAGCGATCCACGCCAAGAGAAAAGAGAAATATGGAATACTGAATGGTGTATGCAGAGAGCGAGGGACAATTGTCGATGGTAAAGGAGTAGGGGAAGGATGATATATGATTATTTTTAGTTAAAGTGAATTGACAGAAATGCCCTTAAATTTAACGGAAACTTTAATGGAGTTAGACATAAGTGGTGGATTGCAACACTTTACAGAGTCTAGGTGGTAAAAATTAAACATTAGAAGTTCAAGTAGTAATGGTGCACATGACTAATAGTTTAGGTGGTATTTATGCAAATTCTATCATTTTTAAAATAAACATCTCACAAGTGAGAGAGAGAAAGAGGGTTAAGCATATGTGGGTTATGCGCATTTGGTTAGAAGAGTGAGTCCTCGCTTTTGCAGTCAAGTTCGCCCTTCCTATAGATTTGAGTAATTTACTTGTATTTTAAAAAATAAATTTTGAAAATTACCCACTAGTGTAGTAGTTTGGAGCAATTGCACTCCCAGGAAAGGAACCTAGCATCCGTGTGATTTGTGTGAGGTTAGTATGTTATCGTCCCTCTCAATAGGAAAGGTACTCAAAAAAATATTATTTATATATATATAACTTAGTTCCGTACAGAAATAGCATTAATTGGAGTATTTTAAACAAAAAGGTTCTGTAGTGTAGTGGTTAGCACTCTGGACTTTGAATCCAGCGACCTGGGTTCGACTCCCGGCAGGACCTTTTTTAGTTTTGTTTTTGTGGTTTGGACAGCCGTTCTGTGTTTTTTTTTGCTTTCGACAGTAAAATGGTTCATACGATTAAATGGAGATGTAGAATTGTGCCAAACATATTGATCAGAACGGCTTCATTTTAATGGGACTCAGATGATTT